TCTATAAGGTTCTATTACTTAATAGAAAGGAAAATAGGTATTAGGGATATCTTTATTAGTTTTATAGTATTACTTAAGACTTAGTATAGAGTTAAAATAACTATATTAGTTACTAATAGGGAAAGGGCTCTTTTAATAATTATAAGAATATACCCTTATATTCCTATTTTACTATTATAAAGAAATAATAAGTATATAAAGGCTTTATAGAATAAGCTAGTAAAAAGAGGCTCTATAATACAGTCTAAGGGAATAACCCTTAAAAGATAAAGACCTCTACTAGACATCTATACCTTCCTCTAGGAAAAGCGGGTTAGGATAAGCCTATCCTTATAAATAAAAAGATATATAAAATGTATAAGTTAATTACGAGCAGAACGGATACCCTATTGCCTATTTTGGCCTAGCGGTTCCGAAGATATCCGCTATATAAGAATAGGTAGGGCATAGAATATTCTAGTTAAATCCACTACTTATACTAGAACCTATAGTCTTACGTTAACTATCACGCTATAATTAGACCACCTACTAAGTTAGAAAGATATACTATAGATAGAGCTTTTTAAGCACTATAGAATATGCTAGAAAGCTAACTAATTAGTCTACTAGTAGGCGAGCAATAGTCTATAAAAGACGAAGGATTTCCCTAGGAGGAGTAGATAGAATAAGTAAGTTCGTATATATCTTTTATAACGCTATTCTTTTAATATATTATTTAGCCCCTTATATGCTCGTTATAAATTCCGGATAAAATTCTACCCTATACTCCTTTGACCGATCCTTCCGCTTACGTTATCGATTACTAGATTCTACGCTTATTGCTTATACCTTCTTATAATAATAAAATAAATAGATTATATAACTAATAAAGGGATATAAGTTATATAGTTAGCCCCTTTAACGCCTATATAAAATAGTTATATAAAGAGATTAAGGGTAATAGTAAAGGAAAAAGAAAGGGTTATAAAGCTTAACTTAAAGCTTTTAAAAGAGCTATAGCTAGAGATATAGTATATAGCGGTATACCTACTTAATATAATACCCTTTAAATTATCTAATTATAGTAGTAGAGCCTATACGAGCGTTAGTAGACCTAGATAAGAGAAAATAATCTACTATATTACTATATTAAAGATATTAAACTAAATATTATATATTTAAGGGTCTTTAGCTATATAGCGTTCCTAATAATAATTATAGTATTAGAATATATTAAGTTATATAAGACGTAATTACCCCTTAAGTAAAGAGCTTATATTAGCTACTTAGTAAGCTATAGGTCTACTTAATAATACGCTATATAGATACTATTAATTAGATAGAATAAACTAATAGTATTAGCTAATATATAGTTTAATAAGTCTATAAGCTATAATATAAAAAGAGAAAAGTAAGCCTAGCTAGTTTAAATACATAGCTATAATATTCTTAGAGATATAGCTATAACCGATATTATAGATAGCGGGGAACTTAAAACCTTTAGGATACTAAGTTTATCTAACGATAATATAGATAATAGTTAAACGCTAGAAGAAGTAATTACCCTCTTATACGACCTATTACCCTTATATATTCTAGAAGATTAGGGATTAAAGACGCCCTTATAGGGATTATATAAATATATATATCTTTCCCCTCTAGAAATAGTAGGCCTAGGGATAGAGATTTTAATATTACCCCTTCTACTTAATACTATATTTAATATAAAGTTACTAAGCTCTATACCTCCTATACCCGTAATAGATACTATAGCTAGTAACCCTACCTATATCTCGTTAAGGAGATAGCTTAAAGATATAATACCTATATTAATTAACTTATCTCCTTAAGATAAACGTAATAATATACCTCTTAACCTAGGGGGTAAAGGAACGATTATAGTATAGGTTTAAGAAGATAACCCTTAGTCCGAACCCTACACCCTTAACCTAGCGGTTAGTAGGGCTAGCTTAAGGATATTATAAATATAAGAATAATATAGATAAAGGGATACTTTATAAGGGATTAACCTAAGTAACGTTATTAAAGGAAAACGGGCTTATAGGCCTAAGAAATCCCTTATTAATAATATTATCGTAAAGGTAAGTAAGTATAAGCTTTACGTTAAAGATATACCGCCTCCCCCTACTTTCTTTAACACGGTAATAGCTTTAGAATTCGTATATAAGTAGAAGGAAGCTATAGACCGCGAAATAAAGGAAAACCTAGTAAGGGGTATATAGAAGACTATCCTAAAAGCTATTATTAAATAGAAAGGTTACTTCTTAATCCCCTTATATTAGGTCTTAGTTTATAAGACCGATAAATAAAGGTATATTATACGCTTTAAAGCACGTATTATAGTTTATAGAGACTTATAACTTAAAGGTAACGAGGATATATATATAGCTACGCTACGAGCACGAATATTTCGACTACTAATAGCCTTCTACTACCTCGAGGACTTTAAGACGGAATAATATAACGTAAAAATAGTATTTCTATACGTAATCCTATACTAAGAAGTTTATTACTAGCCTCTACTAGGATTCTTAATGCCTAGGCTATGCTTAAAGCTATTAAAAGCACTATATAGGCTCCGTATCTCTCTAAAGCTATAGTTTAAAGAGATATCTAGTTTCTTTACTAAACTAAGAGCCTAGTAGCTAGTAAAAGACGCCTATATACTAGTCTATAAGGGCGTTATTATCTTTATCTTTATAGATAATATCGTTATAATATATCTTAAAGGGCAAAAATAAGATTAAGAAGAGCTATATAAGGCTATTATAAAGAAATATACTATTATATATATAAGAGAGCTACGCTAGTTCCTTAGTATCGAGATTATTAGGGATAGGGATCTTAAGAATATATAGTACTTATAAGCTTCCTATATCTCTAAGACCGTAAAGAAATATTATATCCTTAATAATAATATCCTTTATAAGCTTAAGATCCCGCTAATAATAAAAGAGCTTATCCCCTATAAAAAGTAAGCCTTAAAGGAGGAGATATATAAATATATCTTTTTAATTAGGTCGCTTATTTATCTAGTAATTTATACTAAGCTAGATATTATATTTATAGCCGGAAAGCTAGCCTAATATAATTATAACCCCGGGCCGCGCTATAGGCATAAAGCAGGTAAGTACCTAGCTTACCTCTATTATATAAGAAACCGCTATATTTACTTTATAGCGATAAACCTAATAAGGCGGCTAATATATATATCCGACTCCTTATACGCCGATAACCTAAAAACTAGGAAGTCCTTATAAGGATATATATTCCTACTCCTTAGTAAGCTAATTAACTAGAAAGCTAATAAGTAAGCTACTATAATAACGTCCTTTATAAAAGCTAAATTATTAGCACTCTTATAGATAGCTAAGGAATATATAGTATTCGGCCCGCTAATTAAGGAGCTTAGCATTAGTATTAAAAGGACTATAGAGCTCTAGTATAATAACCTTTAGACTATTAAGCTTCTAACTAAATTAAGCGCGAAGCTTAAGATAAACCTTAAGTATATTAACGTTTATAGATACTAGCTTTATTAAGAGGTATAGTAAGATCGAATATAAGTTAGCTAGATTATATTAGTAGATAACCTAGCTAATAGTATAATAAAGGCGCTTATATACTAAAAGTATTAGAGCTTTATTAAGTAACTAGGACTAGTAATACGGCCGGAAGATATATTAAGAGATAATATACCTAACCGCCGTATTAAGGCATAATATCTCCCTACTATAGCGAACTTAATAATCGCCGGATCTAGATAATAAGAGCACTACTATATATACTAAGATTAGGGGATTCTAATAGCGTAGTTAGATCTTAATTTAGTTAAGAAACTATAAAGATCTAGGGGGTAGAAGTTAGCCCTATTTACTACTAAGAAGTAAAGCTATTACTAGACTACCCCTTAATTAGTATAATACTATAGCGCTTAAACTTACGATAATCGCAATAGCTTTACTAAATTAAGACTAATTAATATAAGGAATATATTATTAAAAAGACTACTTTTAGGATTACTTTTATCTTAAATAATAACGTCGCTAGCAAAGGTACTATAGTACCTAGGCTACTTAAAGGGATGCCCTACTATGCCCCTCCTTATAAGGAAGGTTATAAATATAACTTATAACTACTAGTTAAACGGTAAGAGTAGGTTATATAACCCTATTAATCGTAAGTTCGACTCCCTTAAGGGTAGAAGAGTAGGTTATATAGCCACGCCCTAAGGGGGGCGCGGTTAACGAACTTAGGGGCCCGAGGAGATAGGATATATAGAGGAGGGTTCTCCTTATATCCTATCCTCTCGGGTCCCGGCTTTTGCCTTTTACTATATTTACCTTCCCTTTTTATAGGATATAATTAGGAGCCTCCCCTATTTTTAGATAACCTCCTTAAATAGACAATAAAGTAGCCGAATTTAATATCGGAATAGCCTTATATTTATTAGACCGAACCCTCCTCTACCTATTGCCCCACTATCTAGAAGCTAGGGTAGTAAGGGAGTATATTAAGGAGAGTGGGCATAAGAGGCTATAGTTATGCCTAGTAGACCTAATAGTTATGCACAAGGAAGCCTGCCTAAGCAACATGACTCCCCTAGCCTAAGGACATTATATAGGCCTAACTTAGGTATAGGAACATCCTAATGCCCTCTTTTGGCTAGCTATGTGTGGTTACTATACCTATATAAGCCCCTCCCCTGTCCTAATAGATAGACCAAGACACGCATCACTAAATTCACCTTTCTGTGCCCCTATTTCTTCCACTGTTCTCTCAAGCCCCTGCTTGAGAGTAGTATAGTAATTTAGTAGTCTTAGGTTTTAGTATACTTTGCGGACCTTAGCTAATATGCCACCGTAGCAGATCGGTGACAGGATGATTCGAATAGGCCGCGCCGGTAAGCTTACCACGCGCCAATTTACGTATTCGCACGCTAAACTGATGCATGATCGGTACAACAAAATTCAAGAGATAGAGGTCACGTCCAAGCCCCTCTACGCTCTCCGCCTCGACCAACAAGTCTGCGCCTCCGGGTCTTCCGCTAAGCGCATCATCAGTTGGACACCGTCGTCTCGGAACCCATCACTCAATAAGCCAAACTCAACCGCCAGCCGCGCGTATTGGACCGTAGTCCAGTGCTCTCCTTGGGCGCAGAATGCCAGTGCCGCGAGCCGGTAGGCGTTGGTCGAGGTTCCGTGGAGGCGCTCCTGGTGGTGGAGGCTGACGAGCGCTTGCGCAATCTGGGGCGAGGCCTCTGACCCTTCGTCGAGGTGTTCGGTCAGAGCCGTGATCTCGGCAAGGCGTGCATCGGACGCATTAGCCAGCTTCGGGTGCAAGCTGCAGGTGCTGCAGGAGCAATTGAAGGCCCAGGAGGTGTAGAGGTCGGTGAGCCGCTGCTGCCGTGGCATGCGCGGGTCGATGTACGTGATTGTGATCTCTGTGCCGGGCATAATGTCCGTGATGGCGTGCACGTGGTGGGTGAGGGTTTGCGTGTCAAAGAAGTAGACGGCATTGGGTCGGCAGTCATGGTTGAGACGCTGCGAGAGGTCAGCCAGACTCGTGCTCGCAGCCCCTTTTGCGGCTATCATCAGGTGTCATGGGAGTACTCACAGCGATCTCGGGCACCACAATGTAATTCGTCGATTCTCCAATCTCAATCTCAAAGGCGTTTGTGTCGATCCGATCGCTAATTGGATGCACCGACGGCTCGCCGTGCAGCTCCCAAAACAGCTCTCTCGTAGCCAGAGGCAGCTTGGCGACTGCCACCGTTTCCAAGGCGATCCACTTGTCCTCGTCTAGATTCTGAAAGGCATCCTCGTCGAGCACCAAGATAGGCGAGTAGGCAAATATCCGGTCGCCACGGTGCAGCGTCTTGTTGGCAATCAACCCGCGGCCTCGCCCGGGAAGCACTCGCTCCTCGAACGGTGGAGACGCCTCCAAGTTGGTGCCGGCCATGGCTTCCGCGTCCACAAAGGCCGGCACCCGCTGCAAGGTCTTAGCTCGGTTGGGAGTCGTCAGGATCGAGACGCCGCGGCCGTTTGCAAAGGTGTGGGAAGTGAAGACGCAGTACGGCGGAGTCTCGTCTGCATTCGTGATGCACTCGGCCTCGGATGCCCATGACGGCTCCGACTGGGCTGGAGGCAAGGGCCTCAGGGGAGCTTGGGCGAAGCCATTCCACTCTTCCACGCTCGATCGCAGGCACTGCGCTTGTCGAAGAGGAGATGAAAAACACGCATTTCCGAGGCTGACGTGCCGCCGGCTAGCCGAGGCGAGAGCTGTGAGGAATAGGCCAGAAAAGGTCGACAACAAAGACATCTTTCCCACCGCACATGAAACTAGCAATGGCAAAGCAAAGGGTCAAATGTATCGAGCTATATAAGAGATGGCCGTGGGTGATATAGCTCGCAACAGGCTCGGCGAGCTGTCCTGCCCGTCTGGATGTGGGCATCCCGTTTCATCCAGACCATAATTACGGAGCATGTCGAAAGTTTCGCCCGAGCGAAGTGCGTGTCTCTAGAGCGTTTGACGTATTCGACGCACCCGTGATCTCTAGATCTCTAGTCCATCCAGGCTATCTCTTGCACGCCAGGGGCCTAGGTCCTGCGGTCCGGCTCGGTCACTGCTTCAATTAATGTTCGCACGGACCGGGAACAGCGAGGATATTGTCCATGTTCAAACGCTTATCCTGCCCGTAGCCACCAGGACCGAGCATTCAACTGTGGCCCGGGGACGCATGTTACAAACACCCGCTGCAGATACGTATGTTTCACATTTCAACACATAGATCAAACACGTCTCCCGTTCCGCTAGCCGCTCGACTCCTGCTGGAGTTGCCTTTTGGAATCTGGCGGTCGATCAAAAGTAAAACACTTGGGCCGAGCCCATTGAAAGGGCAGCAATCACCAGCCAAACAATTCACCTCGATGTATGTGAGCTTTGGACTACCTTGGATAGGTATCGTTAGAGTTCCACGCGTTAACTACCACTTAGTCGCAACGCCATTCTTTCCGTTCTAAATGACATGCATCGGCTTCAAGAACGGCAGCGACCAACCATTTACGGTTTCATAGCTTCGACGGTATTCATTGCCTATTAAGTTCTAGCTGGTTAAGTAGGCCATTCCAGGCCTTGGCGACTCCATGATGATACCCAGGCCAATGAGATGCACTTTCCGCTGTGACTCTTGCTTTGACTCCGCAGGCGGCGACTGTTAGGAAGGGGGTAGGTAGCTGCACAGGACATTAGTACACGTGGAAACGCACTTACATTCATAGACATCCTTGCATTGATGGGAGATTTTTGTACGAAGTACCCTCAGCGGCCGAGGCAAGCATTTGTCTCGCGTCGTTATTCTTCCCCTCTGCTCCCCTGTACCTCCTACTTTGCATCGATTATTTAACAAGCCCGCGTAAAGGATGGGAAAAAGATGATTCGTGTTATAACCCTCTTCAAGAAATCGGCTGCCCACGACGGCACATGTGCACTCGTCTTTCTGTAGGTGCATCAATTCCTTGGCCATGGCCACCGTAAGCACTCATGAAACGCGCCTGTCCTGTAATGGCCACATCTTGGCTGCGTAGCATTATCCGTGCTGATTACATTAGGTAGATACGAGGTAGTAAATGGCATGTCTTCTTGTGGTCATTGTGTTGTAACCATTATTAATTCGTTCATGCACCTCATGCAGCCGCATGCAGCCTCTCGCCAACCGTCACGCCGTTCGTCGCGGGTTATCGCGGCATCATTCAATTCCTTTCCGCTCCACATATGCACATTATATGCGATTATGCAGGTCCAAACGTATCTAGCAAGACCACCGCTATTGTCTGACTGAGTGAGGAGACTTGAGCCTCAGCAGAATCGGGGAACCGAGATGCCGGCAGCGAATCACGGATGAAGGATGATAAGAAGCGAATGAGGCAGCCGCCGCAAGCGAATACCCCTGGCAGGGCAAGTCTCAAGGTGAAAGAACTGACGTGACTACCGTCCAAGAGCTGGACCTCGGAGGAGTCTGGAAATATGCCTGTGACAGCATTGCGTCGCTGCTACATGTAGCATCGAAACCCGCGGCTTTCTGCGCTCAGCACACCCGTCTGTCGAACAGTCTAAAGATGACCGGTTTCGCCCCAGGCACGTCCAGCTAATATCTCTCTCCAGCCACTGAAGACATATCTCGCGCAAACAGTTCCCGTGCCTAGAGCAGCGAGTGACGGCTGCCGGGACAGGTGGGCGCACCATATCAATCATCCGCACTGAGGGGTGCCTGGCTTTGGTTCTTCGAGATTCTGGCGCCATGGCCGTCGCTGAGTTACTGCTCTCCCTCACATGGCCCCGTTTGATGGGATGCTGCGTGCTGCTCTTCGTCGCTGGCTTCGTCGCCGACTACGCGATGCTGCCACGCTTCCCCAATGACATGCCTGCTGTGGGCTACAGCCGCGGTCTCTGGGGGCATGTGAGAAGCAACATTTCCTACCTTTTACACCAGAGAGACTGGATCAAAGAAGGTTACATCAAGGTGAGCACCTCATGCCCAGGTCATCCACCGTGTCTGCTGGCAGGCTCTAACACCAACTTGCACAGTACGGCAAAAGGGGTCTTCCCTTCCTCGTGCCGGCGGGCTTATCCCGGCCTCCCGACGTCGTGCTCCCTCGAAGCATGCTCCCGTGGCTACTGGAGCAGCCCGAGAGTGCCGTGGATGCGCACGCGGCGCACAATGAAATCATATACGGTGACTACAACTTCCTGGTGCCGTCGGTCGTGCGCGACTCATTTGGCAGCCGTGCCATCACCAAGTGGCTGAACCGCAGCTTGCCGGGTTTGATCCCGGCCATTGAGGCCGAGGTCCGACACGCGGTGGAGCGGGCGCTGGCTCACGTCGGCGCCGATTGGACGAGCGTCAAGCTATGGGATTTCTGGCTGGCCATAGTACCGCCCGTGACGAACCGCATCCTGGCCGGCGCCGACATCTGCCGCGACGAGCGCTATCTCGACGCCGTCGTCAGCTTCACACACGCCGTCCTGCGCAACTGCATATTGCTACGCATGTGCCCGGCTGTCTTGCACCCCGTCGTCGGCCGGCTGCTGGCCATGGCCAACTGGCGGGACTGGCGCCGCGCTGATAAGCTACTCCGGCCCATTGTAGAGCAGCGGGTTGAGGATATGACGTCCAAGGCCCGGGACTGGCAGCCGCCCGAGGATCTCATTACCTGGCTGATTCGCCAAGCCTTGGCCGAGGGCCGCACGGGCGAGCTTGACCCGGAGATCATCTCGATGCGACTCCTGCCGCTCGAGTTTGCGTCCATCGACACAACCGTTCTAACCGGCCTCCTTTGGACCCTGGACCTGCTGTCGTCCTCGCCGTCGGTTCTCGCCACTCTTACCGGCGAGCTGCACGCCCATCAGCCCGCTCCGGGTTCCCCATGGTCCAAGGCGGCGTTACTGTCCCTCGTCCGCGTCGATTCGTCCATCCGCGAGTCACAGCGGCTGAGCAACTTTCACTCGACGCTCATCGAACGCGTGATAATCCCCTCTGGTGGTCTGCGTCTCCATGTACCCGGCCATGACTGGATCCTCCCCAGAGGTGCCCACCTGACGGTAAACCTCGACGGCCTCCATCATGACGAAGATGTTTACGACGACGCAAGAACTTACGATGCTCTGCGTTTTTCGAGGATCCGCGAAAGCCGGGGTGAGCGTTGTAGCGATACCGACGCCGGCACCGGCGTTGGAGGCGCGACCCTTCCGCTAGGCATGGTATCAATGAACGACACACACTTTTCCTTTGGCCATGGACGGTTTATATGGTAGGCTCTGAGCGCGTGCAATGGCATGTCCCTTGGGAACAGGATTTCCGTGCTAATTATGGCATTTTCCCTTCGTGTCCTAGTCCCGGGCGTTTCTTTGTAGCGCACGAGCTCCGGCTCATTGCCGCCGAGCTACTGCTCAAGTACGAGTTCAAGATGCTTAACGAGCCTCCGCGTCGGCGGTGGATCGGCTCGGGCATGGTTCCGCCGTTTAGGGCACGCATTGAGATACGCAGAAAGCGACCAGCTAATAGTTAAATAAGTTATAGCATCTAAAAATATTGCACGAAGGTATTAAGGTACAGCGGCCTATACGTAAGTAAGAGTTAAAACGTATATTACTATTTTTAGAACTAATATATAAAGCCTATAAAGTTAATTTTAGTTTCTATATAATATAATATTAAGTATATAAAAAAGAATCTTATATATAAGCTAATATATATAACTTACTATAAGTATATAACTATAATCCTCCTTTACTATATAATAGCGTTTAATATCTATCTTATATATAGGTTTAGGTATAAAGCTATTTAAATTTATTATCTTAATTAAATAATTTTTTTATATTATATATAACTTTTTTATTCTTTGAAAATTAGTTACTTAAATAATAGTATAAAAATACCCTTATAGTATAGTAATTATATATTATTACTAGTTATTAAGTCTTTATATAAAAGAAAGACGGTATATATTACTTTATCTTACTTATAAGAAGGAGTCTATAAGTATAACTATATATATATATATAAAGTATAAAGGGAATAGGTTTCCTTATTAATTTAGTAGCTTATAGTTATCTATATAAGGGCTTTTGCCCTATATAGGCCTAGACTAAGGTCTAAGCTAAGTCTATATATAAGCGGCCTCTACGCCTATATAGGCTATGCTTATACTTCTCTTTCTTTTCCCCCTTATAGATTATTAACCTTCTTTTAATAGACCGTACCTAAGCTTATACCTTTACTTACTTTATAATAGTATAATCTACCCTTTATTTTACCCTCTTTATATCCCTATATATAAAATAGCTATTTTTAGCTACCTTTAAAGCTAACATTTATTATTATTAAGATTATACTAGGGACCTAGCTAGAGGTATCTAGAACTTCGATATTAAATAAGAGGGAAAAACTAAAGTACTTAAGGGAAAACCCTTCCCTCTTTTAGTATAGGTCCGCCTTAAATAAGGTTATAGTAGTAGTATATAGGAAATTTATACTAGCTACTATAGGCTTCTCTTACGTATTTATATTTTAGCGTAGGCCCTCTTAGGCTATAGCCGCTTCTATCCTAAGCCGCCGCGGCCTAGGCTCGCTAGCCTAGGCCTAGGGTTATAGGTAGTAGTCTTTCTCTAAGCGCCTAACTTATAAGGGCCTTTATTTCTTATAGCTCCCGCGTCGCTACTATATAGCTATAGCTATATCGGCCTATCGGTTTATTAGTTAGTAGGGTAGGTAATATCTAGTTACTAGGCTAGGCACTAGTATAGGTCGCCCTTAGGTAGGGCCGGCTAATCGAAATTTAGTCGGCCGGCTCTATTAATTAAAAATCAGTTTCCGTTTATCCGCGCGATTTCCTAATTAGGGGTATAGCGGCCTATATTTACCGTTTATTCTATAGTTATTAATTACGCGTACTCGGCTTATATATATATATACCTACCCTCCTTCCTTGGTTTTATACTTACCTCCTCCTACCTCTTTATTTATTATCTTTTTTATAGGCCTTAGTTTCTTACCTACCTTATTTTTATATCCTTAGGTTTCTTTAATACTATATCTAGATCGTTCTTTATTACTTTATAATATCTAACTATAAAGCTAACTTAGGTAGTAGCGGCTCGCCTCCTCCTAAGCCCTTTCTTTATAAGAAAGTCGCTACTATAATAGGTTTAGAGCGCTCTATCTTATATTTTATATATATTAAGCGACTTACTAATAAGCGTACCTATAAGTCCTTTACTAGCTATTAGAACTAGTCTTATAAGTATTAGTCTTAGTTCTATCTTAGGTTAATCTTACTTTTAGTGCTTTTCGCTAACTTTATTAGCTATAAAGGCTAAAGTATATATCGCTTATATTAACTTTAACTAATCTTATTACTAAGTAAGTAACCCTATCTTACTATAGTATAGTTTAAATTTAGTGCTAATTTATTTTTAAATTACCTTTAAAAGTAAGGAGGCTATATATACCCTTTACTAAGCTTAGTTTAAGGTTAATAGCCCCTCCCTTATTAAAGGTTTAGTATAAGAGTACCTTTACCGCGCTACTTTAAAAACTTATATTTATATTAGTTAAAAGGCCTATACTATTAAAGGTAAGAGCGTATTAAGCGAGTCTACCCTTAATCTAACTATAGTTACTAAGAATATTAAGATACTCGCCTTAGCTTTTACTTATTTTATAGATAATACCTACTATATATATAAGTCCTTAGAGAAGTACTTAAGTAAGTTTAGCGATACTATTAAAACCTTAGCTTAATTTAAGCTTAAGTTACTCTTAGTTATTTAAAAGACTCTTATAGTAGTTAATAATCTTACTAATTATTTCTATCTTATTACTAGTAATAACTATAATAGTAAGAATAATAGTAAGGATAATAGTATTAATTATATTAAGCTTAGTTTAGCCCTAGCCTCTTTTAGTAAAGGGAATAGTAAGGGTAAAAGTAAGGGTAAAGTAGCTATTATATCTAAGGCTCTATCTAAGGCTAGGGCTAAGGAGTCTACTACTATCTCTATACCTATAGTTATCTTAAAGTTAGTATAAGATCCTACTATATCCTTCTTTATTAGCTCTAACGCCGAGCTATAGCCTAGTAGTTCTCTTATCGCTAAGCCTACCTTAAAGCGTCCTTATCTTATATCGCCTACTAACCCTATTAATACTCCTAACTTTATTTAGTAGTATCTTTATAGCTATTATAGTTTAGTCTTAGCTAAGATTATTACTAGTCTTAACCTTAATTAGATTTAGGGTTATAGTATAGGCTATAGTAAACGCCTCCGCGCCGCTATTAGTATAGGTCTTACCTTAGTATAGTCCTTAGTTATTACTTTATCTTATAAGCTAGCTATTTAAACTAGCTTTAGTTTAGGTTTAAGGCTAAGTTTAGCCGGTCGTTACTAAGCTTCTTATAGTAATAGTAGTCCCTATACTCCTTATAAGTCCTAGGTTACTCCTTTCTATACTCTATATACTACCTTAAGAGGGTCTTATTATTCTTACTATAATAGTAAGGCGGATAGTACTATTAATAAGTTAAGCTAGAGTTATAGATTAAGGGCTAAGTTATTAGCGCTAGCTTAGTTTAGTTTTAAGTTAAGTTTTATTTAGTTATAGTCTTTTAATAGTAGGTCTTATTTTATAGCTATTAAAGCTAGTTTAATTAAGTCTCTTTAGGTTTATTTAGTCTATAGTTTAAGCGGTAAAGTTTTATATTTAATATAAGTTTAGTTTAGTTAGTACTATAGTCTTATTATTATAAGTCCCTTCCCTTTCCTAGGTCGCCTTAGTAAAGTAAGTAGTTAGCTAAGGTAGTTTTAGTTAAGGCCGCTTTATTTTTAATGCGACCTTAGGGCTATCGCCCGCTATATTTATATATAGCCTTTAAGCTAGATCGAACTAGCGGAGCCTATTTAAGTTAACGAACTATTATACTAGCGGCGCTACTATCTTTTTCTTTTAAAGGCCCGCTTTAATATTACCTATATCCTAGGCCTATATTAAAAGGGACTCCCTTACTTTTACTATTAATAAATAGTCGATTATTATATAGTAAATAGTATCCCTTTTTTATTTATAGGTATATATTAATAAGACTATACTAAGAACCCTTTAATTAAAGAGGAAGTTATTAATCCTAATCTTTCTTATATATATCTAGGTAATTATTATACTAATATACTTAAGGAGGCTTTTATAGTAGTCTAGTATTATTACCTTATTAAACTAAAGTAGGAAGTTAGTAGGATAGAAAGTAGTTTAGTATTATTAGATTATATTCTTTTTAGCGTTTTATTAAGCGGCCTATTCCTTATTTAGCCTTTTAAGCGACTTAGCTTTATTTAAGAGGTCGTTCGATCTTATCTAGCTTCGGACCCCCTTATCTTTTCTATAAGGGGGGGCCTACTAAGTAGTAGCGCCGCTAAGGGCCTACTTATTCTATAGTAATGCCTCCTTTTAAGTATACCCGCGACCGCGTTAAACGTACGTTAAATTTAACTTAGGAGCCTAAAGTCTTTTAGCCTTTAAAGAGTATTTATTATTCTTTAGTTTAAGTAAGGGTCGATTAAGGGCACCTATACCTCCGCCTTAACTTAGTAGACTAAGGTCGCGTAATAAGCGCTTATTACTACCTAAAGGTAAGCTAACTAGTCTTATACTAAGTCCCGCTTAATTTTATATAGTCTTCCCTTATAAGTATTATCTTATAGAATATAACTATAGTATTAAAGATTAAGGACTAGATTACCTTACTATAGACTTCCTTAGCGCGTAGTAAGGTATAGCCCTATATAAACGCCGCGAGCTTAGTTAAGGATATAGTCTAGCGCTTTATCTTTATTTAGAGCTACTTTAAGTATACCTTCTATTATAATTTCCGGTATACTTATACCGTTAGTAGGCGGGCCTCTTAAACTAGTATTACCTTATTATTATTAAAGTAAACTAGCGTTATTATTACTTATCTCCTTTATATAAAGTATATTAACTCGCTCTTTAATAGTTTAAAAGTAACTATAAACTTAGTTGCTTACTTTATATATACCTTTTATACCTCTTTTAAGCGTGCTACTATAATAGCTTTATTAAGTTTAATACTAACTATATTTATATTATTAGTAAAGCTAACTATATAAATACTATATATCGTCTTAAGCTTTTTATATAAGGGGGTTATATAGTATAGAAATAGAATTAAGGATAAAGGGGAGCCTTAAGGGTCTCTTATTAATACTTATATTAGCTTTAAGGATTTCTTATTAAAGTAAAGGGTTAATCTTCTATTACTTATAAAGCTTTATATTAAGCTTATAAGCTATCTAAGGTATCCTTAAAGTTCTAGTTCTTTTATAAGCTTATTATAGGTAACTATATTAAATACGCCTTTAATATCTAGCTATAAGAATAATATAATACCCTTTTAAGCCTAGGTCGCGTATATTAGTTTTATTATTAATAAGATCGCTGCTTTTATAAAGCGCTCCCTCTTATTCCTTATTTATTAATTTAGTAAGATAC